GCGCGATGCGCGCCGCGTCCCTTTCCTGCCACATATTTCGCACCGTCGGCGACAAGGCACACCACGCTGAGAGGAAAAAACTGAGACTTTGTATTGATTTTTTACAGTCAGGATGGGCGGGCCCACATTGACGGCCGCGCGCGATGTGCGCCGCGTCCCCTATGTGCGCCGCGTCCCACTGCTGCCACATATTTCGCACCGTCGGCGACAAGGCAGGCCATGCTGAGATGAAAAAACGAAGACTTCGTATTGATTTTTTCCAGTCAGGATTGGCGGGCCCAGATCGACTGCCGCGCGCGATGCGCGCCGCGTCCCATTCCTGCCACGTTTTTCGCATCGTCGACGACAAGACAGACGATGTTGAAAAGAAAAACGGCCACTTTGCATTGATCTTTTAAAATCCGGATGGGGGGTCCCGGATTGGGTCGCTATCGGCCGGAATACGACGTAGGTGGGGGTATATAATAATAAGGAACAAGGATAAGGGGTAGGGGTAGAGGTAGGGGTAGGGGTCAAGCTAGCCAGCTCGAGCGAGTCAAGCATGGCATGCCCATTCCCACCCGCCCTCCCACAACATAACAAACAGTGATGGCACAACTGGGGGCTGCGCGGGTATTTCAGTGCGAGTGGAGGATACCCCAGGACACCGCATTGACGCCCGCGCGGGATGCGCGCCGCGTCCCATTCCCGCCACGAATTTCGCAACGTCGACGACAAGACTGGCCATGTTGAAGGGAACACCGGACACGTTCCGCCCTCCCACAACATAAGAAACAATGTTGGCGCAATTGGGTGCTGGCGCGTAGTGGTAGTAGAAGTAGAAGTAGTAGTAGTAGTAGTAGTAGTAGTAGTAGTAGTAGTAGTAGTAGTAGTAGTAGTAGTAGTAGTAGTAGTAGTAGTATAATAGTAGTAGTAATAGTAGTAGTAGTAGTAGTAGGAGGAGGAGGAGGAGGAGGAGGAGGAGGAGGAGGAGTAGGAGTAGGAGAAAGGAGTAAGAAGTAAGGAGTAGGAGTGGAGTAAAGGAGTAAGGAAGTAGAGAGGAGTAGGAGTCCACCTAGGAGTAGGAGTAGGAGTCAAGCTAGCCAGCTCGAGCGAGTCAAGCATGGCATGCCCAGTCCCACCCTCCCTCCCACAACATAAGAAGCAAAGCTGGCACAACTGGGGGCCGAAGTCACACCGGCCAGCCGGTTTGGTACAGCTGATGCGGCCGCGATGGCGGTTGCCGACGGGAACTGGCGAGCGCGTGTTGAATGCCGCGCATGCATTGCCAGACGAGTCGAGAATGGCCCGGTACACCGCAGGAAGCCAGAGGTGGCCGGAGGAAGCCCGACGGTCTGACAGGACACCCCAAAGCACTCTTGTGAAAAAACATTGGGTTTTTGATGTTTTTATGTTGAAATGCTTGCAAACACACGGTGTTCGGTAGGATTCTGACATGAACGCGCGAGTGTGCTCTTTGTGGTCTTTTTTGCACAGGATTCGCGGCCTGGGTGCATGACAGAGCATCGCGAGTGCACCGCGCGATGACGTGAAATCGCTGGATTTGACAGAATTCTTAAGATTCCTATGGTTTCCTATGATTTCAGCAAGAGAGCCCGGGCGGGAAATTTGTACAATTTTTGTGAAAAAGCATTGGGTTTTTGATGTTTGTATGTTGAAATGCTTGCAAACACACGGTGTTCGGTTGGATTCTGACATGAACGCGCGCGTGTGCTCTTTGTGGTATTTTTTGCAATGGATTATCGCCGTGGACGACAGGACGACCATGTCGAGAGGAAAAAATAAGAAAAATGTTGATTTTGTATTGTTTTTTACAGGTTAGGATGGGACCCCCCGGATGCGGCCCCTAATGGCCGGCCTGAGGGGGGAGTAGGAGTATATTCTAATAAGGAATAAGGATAGGAGTAGGAGTAGGAGTAGGAGTCAATCTAGCCAGCTCGAGCGAGTCAAGCATGGCATGCCCAGTCCCACCCGCCCTCCCACAACATAAGAAGCAAAGCTGGCACAACTGGGGGCCGAAGTCACACCGGCCAGCCGGTTTGGTACAGCTGATGCGGCCGCGATGGCGGTTGCCGACGGGAACTGGCGAGCGCGTGTTGAATGCCGCGCACGCATTGCCAGACGAGTCGAGAATGGCCCGGTACACCGCAGGAAGCCAGAGGTGGCCGGAGGAAGCCCGACGGTCTGACAGGACACCCCAAAGCATTTTTGTGAAAAAGCATTGGGTTTTTGATGTTTTTATGTTGAAATGCTTGCAAACACACGGTGTTCGGTAGGATTCTGACATGAACGCGCGAGTGTGCTCTTTGTGGTATTTTTTGCACAGGATTCGCGGCCTGGGTGCATGACAGAGCATCGCGAGTGCACCGCGCGATGACGTGAAATCGCTGGATTTGACCGAAGTCTTAAGATTCCTATGGTTTTCCTATGATTTCAGCAAGAGAGCCCGGGCGGGAAATTTGTACAATTTTTGTTAAAAAAACATTGGGTTTTTGATGTTTTTATGTTGAAATGCTTGCAAACACAAGGTGTTCGGTAGGATTCTGACATGAACGCGCGCGTGTGCTCTTTGTGGTATTTTTTGCAATGGATTATCGCCGTGGACGACAGGACGTCCATGTCGAGAGGAAAAAATAAGAAAAATGTTGATTTTGTATTGTTTTTTACAGGTTAGGATGGGACCCCCCGGATGCGGCCCCTAATGGCCGGCCTGAGGGGGGAGTAGGAGTATATTCTAATAAGGAATAAGGATAGGAGTAGGAGTAGGAGTAGGAGTAGGAGTCAAGCTAGCCAGCTCGAGCGAGTCAAGCATGGCATGCCAGTCCCACCCGCCCTCCCACAACATAAGAAGCAAAGCTGGCACAACTGGGGGCCGAAGTCACACCGGCCAGCCGGTTTGGTACAGCTGATGCGGCCGCGATGGCGGTTGCCGACGGGAACTGGCGAGCGCGTGTTGAATGCCGCGCACGCATTGCCAGACGAGTCGAGAATGGCCCGGTACACCGCAGGAAGCCAGAGGTGGCCGGAGGAAGCCCGACGGACTGACAGGACACCCCAAAGCATTTGTGTGAAAAAGCATTGGGTTTTTGATGTTTTTATGTTGAAATGCTTGCAAACACACGGTGTTCGGTAGGATTCTGACATGAACGCGCGAGTGTGCTCTTTGTGGTGATTTTTGCACAGGATTCGCGGCCTGGGTGCATGACAGAGCATCGCGAGTGCACCGCGCGATGACGTGAAATCGCTGGATTTGACAGAATTCTTAAGATTCCAATGGTTTTCCTATGATTTCAGCAAGAGAGCCCGGGCGGGAAATTTGTACAATTTTTGTGAAAAAGCATTGGGTTTTTGATGTTTGTATGTTGAAATGCTTGCAAACACACGGTGTTCGGTAGGATTCTGACATGAACGCGCGCGTGTGTTCTTTGTTGTATTTTTTGCAATGGATTATCGCCGTGGACGACAGGACGTCCATGTCGAGAGGAAAAAATAAGAAAATGTTGATTTTGTATTGTTTTTTACAGGTTAGGATGGGACCACCCGGATGCGCCCGCTATCTGCCGGCCTGAGGGGGGAGTAGGAGTATATTCTAATAAGGAATAAGGATAGGAGTAGGCGTAGGAG